AAACATGTAAGATGTGCGGCCATAGAAATTGGCACTAGTCCTTGCCAAACTGCCCAAAAGTTAAGGTGTCATAAGGACTAGTAGAAATTTGCCATTTTAAGGGTTTTGCTATATGTTATCATTATAAGGATGAGTGGACTAAAACTGTTAGTTTCTATCGCTGCTGTAGGAGAAAAAGCCTGTTGACTTTGCTTTAAAGTAAATATACTTTTTATCCGATAATAAGTGATGACATTATGGAGCAGAAGATTGTATAGAATTGACTTCAATAATATTTGCATTTATGGAGGTTTTACAGCAAAAACCGATATGTGCACTGTGCAAAATACACATAGGAAAGGCATATTTCAATCAGTTTTGATAAATAAATGGGTCAACATTAATAACTTCACAGACTGATTATTTAGTCATTAGTCCCTAGAGGATCCAGGGCTGAAAAGGTCTTCAGCAACCCATGCTTGCCGTAAAAGGCGACTATGCTTGTCGTAAGAGTCGACTAAGGGGATTGGGTGGTCAGGCTTGCTGACTTGGTTCATGCATGTCATCGTATCCCAATTGCGTAGATTAATGCTCATGATGATAATCACTGGATTGTCTGATCCAGACTCAATTACCATGATTACATACAGACCGGCGTCATATAGCCGGAATATTGCTGAGTGCACTGTTAAAAAGCAACAAGTTAACAGATTTCAATTTCACTCCTAAGAGTATAGGCTTGGAATAGGTCCCAAGCAATGTACATGATGTACGCTTTCCATACAGGATAGGTTCATCGATTTGGGTGTCAGGGTCAGACACTTGGTCGACTACGTGACGTCACATCCCAACAGTACAGATCGTGGCTCATAACGTCGGTGGTAGAAATGAACATGTTTAGTCCACCCACCCATAGTGGTTAAAGCGTTCGCTCGTCGCGCCGAAGACCCGGATTCGATTCCCGACATGGGTACAATGTGTGAAGCCCATTTCTGGTGTCTCCACCTTGAATATTGCTAAAAGTTGCGTAAAACCATACACACTCACTCACTCAACTCAAATTACGATGAGAAGTTTGGATCTTCTTCATGGAAGTAATATAAAGGATATTTCCCCATCAGCACAGAAAATCACTCAGAATGTCGTGTTTTCTGTCATCAAAGGGCTTAGTCCCTAGTCATGCTAATAGTATTGTGCATTCTCAGATGAAAGAACGCCTGCAATTTACTGCATTACATATTGCAATACATGAATCATTATTGCTGTTAATTACAATATGAAAGGCCAGTACTTATCATAAGTTGGTTATTTGTTTGATTTGGTAAAGCCATATTTTTAAATTCATGGTTGTATTGATCAGCTCTGCACATGATGGGGTAGCCCAGTGGTAAAAGCGTTTCGCTCGTCACGCTGAAGACCCTGGTTTGATTCCCGACATGGGTGCAATGTGTGAAGCCTGTTTCTGTTGTTCCTCGCTGTGAAATTGCTGGAATATTGCTTAAAGCGACCTCAAACCAAACTCACTCACTCCTAAAATGGCAAATTTCTTCTATTCCTCATGATACCTTAAGTATTGGGTAGTTTGGGAAGGACTAGTGCCAGTTTCTAACGCTGAATATCAATCACTGGATTGTCAGGCCCAGTCTCAGTTATTTATAGGCCGCCATCATAAAGCTGAAGAATTGTGAGTGCCCCATTAAACAACACAGACACATACCTATTCCTACCCAGAATCCCCTTGCGTAATAACGACATGCATTCAAGCACGCCACCTGATGGCCTGAGTGATTTTACTTGTCTCTTGTGACAGCATATCCCCACTGCTTCCGTATTATGTAATCTAATGACTGTTTTGTGCACTCACCTAATTTCTTCGTGGTCGAGCTATCCCATTTCAATATATCTCATTTGAACAGCGTGTCCAGATAGATGTAATGGAATATAAAATCCTAGGATTGGCACCATGTGACAGGAACGTTGCCACTTAGAATGACTCACAGGCCTAAATGATTGTGACATTTGCTCACTATTGGTGCATTGGAAACAAGACATATAATATCTACTAATTATGTATTAATTATGATAGATGTTTGCATGGTACTTATGCTGGAATTATTCTTGTGTGCCAGTGTGTCAACAGCTTTTCATGTTTTCGGACACTTTTTGGGTGATATTTTTACAGCCCTCCTCAGTATTAAATATAGTAGTTAGTACACTGACATTTTGTTGGTTTGTTGTTTAACGCTGACTTATCAATATTCAAGCTTTTTGACGTGGGTCTGTATATAATCAAGTCTGGACCGATAATTATGAGCATCGATCCACGCAATTGGAATGCGATGACATGCATCAACCATTCAGCCAGCCTGACCACCCAATCCCGTTAGTTGCCTCTTACGACAAGCATGGGTTGCTGAAGACCTATTCTACCCTGGATCTTCACAGGTCCATCCTAACATTAAGTCCCAGAAATATAGATATCTTATTTAAACATATATATCTAAAAATTAAAAATAAAATCCAAATGTAACCACAATTTGTGAGTATTTGATCTTTTTAAGTCGTTCAAGTACCATGGTATTAGACATCAAGGATCCCTGGTCAACCCTTAATTTCAAACATTGAATGATGTAGCTAAAAAAAGTTTACTTTAGGCTAAATAAAATAATAGTCTTGGTTCTCAGGCAGCACCCGCATCATGATTGAGTCTGCTGCACGTTTTGTTTTTATTTCCATTTAAAAAAAATACAAAAATCCTAATACTTAAACATAATGCGCAAAAAAAATTGAAAATGGAAACAAAAAACAAACGTGCAATGTACTTTATCATGTTTATGATGATATGAGCAGTGCCTGAGAACCAAGACCATAATTTCTTTTAGCCTTATCTCTTGTGATCGCTCAGGGAAGCATCTAAGATTTTACTGTGTCCAAAAAAGGAGTCTATGTTTTGTTTGTTTGTTTGTTGTTTAATGCCACACTCAGCACTATTCCAATCAATATATCAAACAAATCAGTGAGTCTTACTCTTAGCGCCCGAACCCGTTAATCGCCTCTTACGACAAGCATGGGTTACTGAAGAACATTTCTAACCTGGATCTTCAAGGGTTAGGAGTTTATGGAAATATAGAACAAGACAAACTTGAACATATTTGGAAATCTATCCACAGAATATATGTCATCACCGTTATTAGTTTAGTTCCACACTGACCAAGGGGGTGAAATATATATATCTTAAATGCTGTACAGTAGCTGCCTTACATGACATGAAGTGTCATAGGAAGTAATGTTGTTGTTCAACTGTTAATTTGCCACCTGTGTAAATCTGGAGCCGGAAAAGAAGCATGGCCATCTAATTCAAATCCTACTTGTCTGCCATGCCTTCTAGACTGCACGGATATGAACATATTCTGTTTGTTGTTTAACGCCGCACTCAGCAATATTCCAGCTATATGACAGCGGTCTGTAAATAATCGAGTCTGGACCAGACAATCCAGTGATTAATATCATGAGCATCGATCCACGCACAGCCTTGGGCCCACTCAGGATGATATATAGGTGTGCCCTTTGTAATTAATGTGGGCCAACGAGATGCATAATTTTTAACCCTCATCGAACTCGGTGAATTTCCTTCCACCAGGGACCCGTGAAGATTCCGGGGTAGAAAAGGTCTTCAGCAAACCATGCTTGCCGTAAAGGGTGACTATGCTTGTCGTAAAAGGCGACTAACGGGATCGGGTGGTCAGCCTCGCTGACTTGGTTGATGCATGTCATCGATCCCAATTGCGTGGATCGATGCTCATGATATTAATCACCATGATCACTGGATTGTCTGGTCCAGACTCGATTATTTACAGACCGCCGTCATATAGCTGGAATATTGCTGAGTGCGGCGTTAAACAACAAACCAACCAACCAACCAACCTTTCACCAGGGGGCGGGGGCATGGGTGGCCTAGTCGTCTAAGGCGCCGCGATTCGCAGTGCAGAGTTGCGTCCCTTAGGCACGCCAGAAAACTATGATTGTGGGTTCCAATCCCGGTTCACCCCGATTATGTTTCTAGGTTTGTCAGCACCATACCCGTGCTCGTGGGTTTCACCGAAGTGGTAAACGTCTGAGACCTGCATCACCTCGGGCTTTCCTTCCACATTAAGCTGACACGCCGCGATATAACTGGAATACTGTTAAAAGCAGCGTTAAACCCAACTCAATCACTCACTCACTCACTTTCACCAAGGCTAGATTATTAACAGTTGTAATTTTTTAAGTGTACCCTTTTCCTGACCATTGCAATTGATAGCATCCTTTTCAATATCTGAATCTCTAGATTTGTCAGCACCATACCTGTGCTCTTGGGTTTGCCCAAAGTGGTAAACTTTGGAGACCAGCATCACTTTGGGCTTTCCTCCCACATTAACTCTTTCCACACCAGTCAACCAAAAGCTTTTACTGCTGTCACACCTAGTTCCCAGAGACTCTTGTGTGACATGAAGCCTACATCATGTACATTTACCAAGGAATTATCTCCTTGTAAGACACCTTGGCTACTACATGTTGTACACCATTTGAAAGGTCTAAGTGTTTATAAATATGAAAGTTATGTTTATCACATTATTTAAATATTGCATTTACAACATAATAAAGTTCATTTTAAATATATAATGTAAGCTAACATATTCATAACCTCCAGATTAAGCACCAAGGAAGCGAAAATTTGACGATTTTGGCAATTGTTAGACTTCATTGTTACTTCTAACATGTATAATATTCTCTTGCCTCATTTTGTTATTTTCATTGTTTACGTTATCAAAAAAATATTTGAAAAAGAATTGTAAAATATTATATGTCTTCTCAGTCACATAAGAAATTACCGGAAAGTTATAACTTCCGTGGTTGATGCTTTAACCATTTGATCGGCTAAAAAATACACGAAATTTCAAAGCTTGACCATTCCTTCTCTAATGTATGAAGGTCAGAGAAGATATCACATCATGAACATGATGAAGTGTGACACTACTTACCAGTTGCGTCCGACATCTGGCCGACCTCCATTGTCTTGTGTTATCCTGTGCCTCCCTGTTAATTGGGACAGATAACTGTTAATTACAACAATCACTGACGTTTCATCTTGCCCTGTAGACTGGACAGAGTGAGATGATTGTTCTACTTAGAATTTAATTTCAGTATTTACCGTATTTGGTGTAGTAACTGCCCCTTGTCATTGAGATTATTAGAATAAACATCCAGAATTTTTATGCTACAGCACAGCGAGCATGCGAATGGTGCGGAATTTTAATTTGTGAAAAATTGCAAACCATTTTATCATTTTTATCTCGGATATAATTTCACCCCTTAGAGTATTGGCTTGGAATAGGTCCCCAGCAACCTACTCTTGTCGTACGAGGCGACTTAATGGATCAGGTGATCAGGGTCAGATCCTTGGTTGATCGCCTATCATTGTAACCTGACAACTTGGATCATGGCTCTTAACATCAATCACTGGATTGTCTGATCTAGACTAGATTATTTACACACTGACATCATTTAGCTGGATTATTGATGAGTGTGGCACTAAACAACAAACATGTAAAGCCAAATCGTTTCATAGCACTGACATTTGGTTGTGTTACCTGGTTTAAAATTGGGATTTTTAAAAATCCTATTTTCTTAAATATAGATGCCTTTTCACATTGTATAATAACATTGCATTCAATTATGTAAAATTAAGCATCAAAATTTCCTCTTAATTCTCCTGATATGAGTCAACCAGACCAAGATATGACTTAAATATAACTATATTAATGTTAATTTGGAATGTTTTAATTCCAAATTGGGAATATTTACTGGCATTTGCAGACTTGGTGCTGAATATCAGCTTCTGAGCAGGTCCAGACAAATCCCTGTTACAGCATGTACAATATACTACGGTTATAACAAACTCAAAGCGACCACTAAAGTTAGTTAGTTATAAATGTTCGTTATAAGCATTTCAACTAAAATATATAGCATATATCCAGGACCCAAGAAACAGTTTGTTATATCCGTTAGTTCATTATAAGCATGTATGTTATAAACATGGTTTTCTGTATACATGTTATATAGGCAAGTTACAAGGAGCTTTACGGCAATATAGTCCTATAATATCGGTAGGTTAGCCCTGGTAGATATATGTACAAACACACAGTACTGGGTCACAAGCATGGATGTGCATAAGCTGACATACCAGCTCTACACACAAAATGCCCCTTGGACAATAAAATGATTTCATGACCAAAATACAAATAATGATAGCTGCCCTTTGTCGTATGTTCGGCTTGAATACTTAATGTGTGATCTGTCGTCAAGGTTATATCAGTGACGTATTGCAGTAAAATGTAACGCCAAACATAACAACAGCACGTGTTAGCCTTAATGGTACAAAACAACAGCACTGTTAGCCTTAATGGTACAAAACAACACTGTTAATGGTATATATTTACTTATCTACAACAGGATGAAATACAGGAGATCATTATGATAATTATGGAGTCGCTGTGATTACTGCAGCCATCATGGTAAATTACTCGTGATTATAAGCACTCGATTGTCACAAAACGATGACGAAGTCAGGACGCCTACATGCGGTGAATATTCACAATGGACAAAGTCTGGAAAGTTGGGGGAAGTGGAGGGACGTCGAGGGCGGCATTACCAAAATTGATACCCGCGGTTCCAGAAGTGATGGGTCCTTACCAGAGATTTGATCTTCAATACGTGTTGAAGGAAATTGAAACTGCCGATCATTATGTTGAGGTAGGATGTGGCAGACATTTTGAGTTATTTTGGGAAGGATGTTTTGACTTTTCAACATGGAGTTGGATGGAAAATTAGTGGTTTGTCCTTATTCTTGGTGAGGAGTTTGGAGTTGATGGTAGTAATTTCTGTTGGTTTGGTGGATTTTTGGATAAGATGATGAACTTGGTGTTTATATGTTATAACTATAAACCAGACATGTGTGTTATTGTTATGCTTGAATGGTTTTGCTGGATGTAAAATATTGCATCCTTAATCTTAAAAAGTAAGAATGGGCAAAATAATATCAACTGTTAGTCTCATAGGATGGGGAAAAAAAAGAATGGATGTTGGAATGATTGAAACTAATTGAATTGAAATATGTAAATATGATTTTTTATATTTCTGTTATTCATTCTTTGTATGAGGCATCACACAGAGTTTGTATGTGATTTCCCCTTGGTACAGTGGTAGCCTTGGGACCCCAAAAATTCATTACCGATACTCCCCGGGAGTCGCAAATATATGGACCTGGCCCCGTTCCACGGAGCGATCTTAGGGCTACAACAGTCGTAAGCCTATGTTAAAGTCTGGAAGTTACGATCATCTTAGCGCTTAGATCGTTTTGTGGAACGGGGCCATGAGTCCCTTCCTTGGCATCCTGTTGTCATCCATTTTAAGAATCATGTGAGATCTTGGTGTGAAAGACACCAATGTGAGACATCAGCAAGACTTGATAGTAATTTGTGGTCTATTCTGATCGTGATTTTGGAGTTAATAGCAGAAGTTAATGTTATTTTGGTGATTTTTTTCTATGAGATGATAAACTTGCAGTCCATATCATGTAATGAGAAATCATGAGTTTGGAACTTGATTCTACTTCCAGAATCAACAGATTTAATTTTTCTGACTTCAACCATGTTATGGTTGATATATGCTTTCTCTTTGATTTTCTATAATGACCTATAGTATTACTTGAAATGCCACTCGTGAAGACTCCGGTCAGAATAGGTCTTCAGCAACCCATGCTTGCCGTAAAAGGCGACTATGCTCTTCGTAAGAGGCAACTAACAGGATGGGTGGTCTGAGACTCGCTGACTTGTTTGATTGCATGCCACTGTACCTGAATGGCATGGACCATTGTTCACTATATCAATCACTGTATAACAGGCTGCTATTGTGTAGCTGGAATAGTGCTGATTGGGGACACACAGACACACAGAGACACAGAGAAACACAGACACAGACAGACACAAAGGGACACAGACAAAGAGAGGAACACAGAGACACACACATACACACACACAGACACACACAGACACACACCAACACACAGAGGCACACACAGACACACACCCATACACACTCATACAGACACATACAGAGGCACACACACAGGCACACACACACAGGCACACACATACACTCACACACTGGCACTCACACATACACACATACACACATACACACAGAGGCACAGAGACAGACAGAAAAACACAGACACACACTCGGCCACAAACACATGTACACACACATAGAGTGTAGTCAAACACACCACATTTTCATTTGAGAGTCAGGGGTTTGTTAATTGTACACAGATGTATCCTGTCAGAATCATATTGTTGCCAAGGGAGAATTGTCCTGAGCCTCCAGGGACTTCCCTGTTGGATTGGGCCAGGGTTTGGTGTAGCTGAAACACAGACACTGACTGTTGGACTGGGCCAGGGTTTGGTGGAGCTGAAACACAGACACTGACTGTTGGACTGGGCCAGGGTTTGGTGGAGCTGAGACACAGACACTGACTGCTGGACTGGGCCAGGGTTTGGTGGAGCTGAGACAAGGACACTGACTGTTGGACTGGGCCAGGGTTTGGTGGAGCTGAAACACAGACACTGACTGTTGGACTGGGCCAGGGTTTGGTGGAGCTGAGACACAGACACTGACTGCTGGACTGGGCCAGGGTTTGGTGGAGCTGAAACACAGACACTGACTGTTAGACTGGGCCAGGGTTTGGTGGAGCTGAAACACAGACACTGACTGTTGGACTGGGCCAGGGTTTGGTGGAGCTGAGACACAGACACTGACTGTTGGACTGGGCCAGGGTTTGGTGGAGCTGAGACACAGACACTGACTGCTGGACTGGGCCAGGGTTTGGTGGAGCTGAGACACAGACACTGACTGTTGGACTGGGCCAGGGTTTGGTGGAACTAAGACACAGACACTGACTGTTGGACTGGGCCAGGGTTTGGTGGAGCTGAGACACAGACACTGACTGCTGGACTGGGCCAGGGTTTGGTGGAACTAAGACACAGACACTGACTGCTGGACTGGGCCAGGGTTTGGTGGAGCTGAGACACAGACACTGACTGCTGGACTGGGCCAGGGTTTGGTGGAGCTGAAACACAGACACTGACTGTTGGACTGGGCCAGGGTTTGGTGGAGCTGAAACACAGACACTGACTGTTGGACTGGGCCAGGGTTTGGTGGAGCTGAGACACAGACACTGACTGCTGGACTGGGCCAGGGTTTGGTGGAGCTGAGACAAGGACACTGACTGTTGGACTGGGCCAGGGTTTGGTGGAGCTGAAACACAGACACTGACTGTTGGACTGGGCCAGGGTTTGGTGGAGCTGAGACACAGACACTGACTGCTGGACTGGGCCAGGGTTTGGTGGAGCTGAAACACAGACACTGACTGTTAGACTGGGCCAGGGTTTGGTGGAGCTGAAACACAGACACTGACTGTTGGACTGGGCCAGGGTTTGGTGGAGCTGAGACACAGACACTGACTGTTGGACTGGGCCAGGGTTTGGTGGAGCTGAGACACAGACACTGACTGCTGGACTGGGCTAGGGTTTGGTAGAGCTAAGACACAGACACTGACTGCTGGACTGGGCCAGGGTTTGGTGGAGCTGAGACACAGACACTGACTGTTGGACTGGGCCAGGGTTTGGTGGAACTAAGACACAGACACTGACTGTTGGACTGGGCCAGGGTTTGGTGGAGCTGAGACACAGACACTGACTGCTGGACTGGGCCAGGGTTTGGTGGAACTAAGACACAGACACTGACTGCTGGACTGGGCCAGGGTTTGGTGGAGCTGAGACACAGACACTGACTGCTGGACTGGGCCAGGGTTTGGTAGAGCTGAGACACAGACACTGACTGCTGGACTTGACCAGGGTTTGGTAGAGCTGAGACACAGACACTGACTGCTGGACTTGACCAGGGTTTGGTGGAGCTGAGACACAGACACTGACTGCTGGACTGGGCCAGGGTTTGGTGGAGCTGAGACACAGACACTGACTGCTGGACTGGGCTAGGGTTTGGTAGAGCTAAGACACAGACACTGACTGCTGGACTGGGCCAGGGTTTGGTGGAGCTGAGACACAGACACTGACTGCTGGACTGGGCCAGGGTTTGGTGGAGCTGAGACACAGACACTGACTGTTAGACTGGGCCAGGGTTTGGTGGAGCTGAAACACAGACACTGACTGCTGGACTGGGCCAGGGTTTGGTGGAGCTGAGACACAGACACTGACTGCTGGACTGGGCCAGGGTTTGGTGGAGCTGAAACACAGACACTGACTGCTGGACTGGGCCAGGGTTTGGTGGAGCTGAGACACAGACACTGACTGTTGGACTGGGCCAGGGTTTGGTGGAGCTGAGACACAGACACTGACTGTTGGACTGGGCCAGGGTTTGGTGGAGCTGAGACACAGACACTGACTGCTGGACTGGGCCAGGGTTTGGTGGAGCTGAGACACAGACACTGACTGCTGGACTGGGCCAGGGTTTGGTGGAGCTGAGACACAGACACTGACTGCTGGACTGGGCCAGGGTTTGGTGGAGCTGAGACACAGACACTGACTGCTGGACTGGGCCAGGGTCTGGGACACATGATGAGTTGACATTTGCTTGTATTTATAGCTGTGACATTTCCGATGTGTGCGACAAGGGTTGAAGCAAGCATTAGAGCAACAGCAGATGAAACTGATTAATAGCTAACATTGTGGTTGGTTGTTATTTCTAATGTTGTGGCATTATTTTGTAAAAGGATTTATTTAAATGTGAGTGAATCTTTTCATGGACTGGTGAGTGAGTGTAAGGAATTAGCCTCTAAGTGAGTCAGTATGTCAGCGAGTTAATTTTACACTGCTTTCATCAATAATTCTGCGACTTTCGCCACTAAATTGAAGCTTGAGGACCGCCTCCATCACCAGGTCTCGTGTCCAGGGAGCAGATGGTCAGCTGCTTGTTCCCCGGCTAGGTCATTCCAAAAGATAGTACTTGTTATTTCCCTGCCTGGCGCATTAATGGGTTAAATCAGTTACTGTCAGCTCAGAGTCCATTACAATGTGTCCGAGTGGGGTATCCATGGTAAACTGAGGCATGGTATCTCAGTGGGTTGGCTCTAATAAACCAGCATTAGTCTGGACTAGTACAAGCAGCCACAAACACATACACATGCGCACGCACATGCACACGCACACGCACACACTAAAACACATACACACACTAACACACACACACACTAACACACACACACACACACACACACACACACACACACACACACACACACACACACACACACACACACACACACACACACACACGCTAACACACACACACACTAACACACACGCTAACACACACTAACACACACACTAACACACACACACACACAATAACACACACACACACAATAACACACACACACACTATGTAAGTGCAATAACCTTCACAAACTCACACACGCACTGCCCTTTTGGTCAGGATTGTCAATTAAATACATACATTCATATTTCTGTCGTGAAGGTACTCCACTGACTCGTTGTCAGCGGGATGTAGCAACTAGTCCACCAGGAACAACAAGTGTTCTGTTCAGCCTCAGTACTGACGGCCCCTGCAGTTAGAGCCTCTAGTCATTGCCCATAAACCTGATAAATTCCTTGTGCTTTAAGAGGGTCAATGTGTTTTGGATTGTGGTGTATTGATCTAGAATCTGATATATATTTCAGCAATAAATAATAATGGCATGTCAGTCCTCGACATTCTTGCTAGCAAGCTTGCCTGAGACTGCTAAATTGTGCTGCGAAAGGGAGAAATGCAATGATGGTAGTCCTCATTGACGAGTAACATTTGAGAACTATTATTCTGAACCAGTTCTCGATGCTTCAATTTTACTACAAATTGGAAATGAATAAAACTCACAGAAATTGTGAACATGGTAAACGTTTTTGTCACGTTCAGGCAGGACTAGCTAGAAATACAAATACAAGCGCTGGGGCCTACAGGGCTTGAAGTTACTGGTGCCACCAGGCCTGCAGCTCACATAAAATAGGAAATGGCACGCTTGAATTTTTGGTACAGTGCCTGGTTGTCATTTTCATTAAAAGTAATTTACTTTAACGTTAATTTTTTTTCATGTCTTGACAAAATTAAAATGTTGACAATCACTAAATGACTTCCTGTTGTAAAACCAATCCGCAATATTTGATGATTTACGTTGACTTTCTTACTGACGTTTGACGAGAGATTGCCTGAAACACATTTGAATGTAATCGCGTCTCTTTGTTTTTTGACGGAATATCATGTAGGTCTTGCATTTCAAACAGAAGTGGTTATTCATGTTGACTTGTGAAAAACTTAGCAGACGATCACTATTTCTTGTAATTATTGGGTAATATGAACACCTGATTGTCTGGTCCAGACTCTTTTATTTACAGACCGCCATCATATAGCTGGAATGTTGCTGAGTGGGCTTCAAACAACAAAGAAACAAAACAAACAAATCATGAAAAGATAGATATCATGATACTTGAGTCACGATATGATACTTGAGTCACGATATGATACTTGAGCTGTTTTTGCTTAAAATTCACCATTATCCATGTGACAGGCATGCAAGAGGTTGTACGACTGCCATAGGTCTGTGTTAAAGTTTGGGAATTACAATCCTCTTAGCGCTAAGATCGCTTTGTGAAAGGGGCATTGGACAGGAAAATGATGTTGTGTTTAGGTATATGTAAAGAGGACTTTGTCCCATGTTTGACAAAATGCCTTCTGACATAAGTCTCAATCACTGCAACACAAACAGTTTTCTATGCACTCATTTTAGTCACGTGTATCAATGTTTCTGTCTGGTATTTCCAGGGAGCGCGGGTATGGATCCCGGATCCCGTGGAGGTGTGGCGAGCTGCGGAGCTGCTGGAAGCCTACACCGGGCAGCCCAAGCTCAAAATACAGTACGAGGAGGGGGAGGTGAGTCAGCCACTGATGCATTGTGGGACATGTGGGTCAGCCACTGAGGGATTGTGGTACATGTTGGTCAGCCACTGATGCATTGTGGGACATGTGGGTCGGTCAGTGATGCATTATGGGACATATGGGTCAGCCACTGATGCATTGTGGGTCAGCCACTGATGCATTGTGGGACATGTGGGTTGGTCAGTGATGCAGTATGGGTCAGCCACTGATGCATTGTGGGACATGTGGATCAGCCACTGATGCATTGCGGGACATGTGGGTCAGCCACTGAGGGATTGTGGGACATGTTGGTCAGCCATTGATGCATTGTGGGACAAGTGGGTCAGCCACTGAGGGATTGTGGGACATGTTGGTCAGCCACTGATGCATTGTGGGACATGTGGGTCAGCCACTGAGGGATTGTGGGACATGTTGGTCAGCCATTGATGCATTGTGGGACATGTGGGTCAGTCACTGATGCATTGTGGGACATGTTGGTCAGCCACTGATGCATTGTGGGACATGTGGGTCAGCCACTGAGGGATTGTGGGACATGTGGGTCAGCCACTGATGCATTGTGGGACATGTGGGTCAGCCACTGAGGGATTGTTGGACATGTGGGTCAGCCACTGAGGGATTGTGGGACATGTGGGTCAGCCACTGAGGGATTGTGGGACATGTTGGTCAGCCATTGATGCATTGTGGGACAAGTGGGTCAGCCACTGATGCATTGTGGGACATGTGGGTCAGCCACTGAGTGATTGTGGGACATGTGGGTCAGCCACTGAGGGATTGTGGGACATGTGGGTCAGCCACTGAGGGATTGTGGGACATGTGGGTCAGCCACTGAGTGATTGTGGGACAAGTGGGTCAGCCACTGATGCATTGTGGGACATGTTGGTCAGCCACTGAGTGATTGTGGGACATGTGGGTCAGCCACTGATGCATTGTGGGACATGTGGGTCAGCCACTGAGGGATTGTGGGACATGTGGGTCAGCCACTGAGGGATTGTTGGACATGTGGGTCAGCCACTGATGCATTGTGGGACATGTGGGTCAGCCACTGATGCATTGTGGGACATGTGGGTCAGCCACTGAGGGATTGTGGGACATGTGGGTCAGCCACTGATGCATTGTAGGACATGTGGGTCAGCCACTGAGGGATTGTGGGACATGTGGGTCAGTCACTGATGCATTGTGGGACATGTGGGTCAGCCACTGATGCATTGTGGGACATGTGGGTCAGCCACTGAGGGATTGTGGGACATGTGGGTCAGCCACTGATGCATTGTAGGACATGTGGGTCAGCCATTGATGCATTGTGGGACATGTGGGTCAGTCACTGATGCATTGTGGGACATGTGGGTCAGCCACTGATGCATTGTGGGACATGTGGGTCAGCCACTGAGGGATTGTGGGACTTGTGGGTCAGCCACTGATGCATTGTAGGACATGTGGGTCAGCCACTGAGGGATTGTGGGACATGTGGGTCAGTCACTGATGCATTGTGGGACATGTGGGTCAGCCACTGATGCATTGTGGGACATGTGGGTCAGCCACTGAGGGATTGTGGGACATGTGGGTCAGCCACTGATGCATTGTAGGACATGTGGGTCAGCCACTAAGGGATTGTGGGACATGTGGGTCAGTCACTGATGCATTGTGGGACATGTGGGTCAGCCACTGATGCATTGTGGGACATGTGGGTCAGCCACTGAGGGATTGTGGGACATGTGGGTCAGCCACTGAGGGATTGTTGGACATGTGGGTCAGCCACTGATGCATTGTGGGACATGTGGGTCAGCCACTGAGGGATTGTGGGACATGTGGGTCAGGAAAGATACAAGACACTGTTCATTAATCAGAATGCCTCAGACATCATGATTCTCACCAGCTTACAGGATTAGGGGCGGTCGGGTTGCCTAGTGGTTAAAGCGTTCGATTTCACGCTGAAGACCGTGGTTTGATTCCCGACATGGGTACTATGTGTGAAGCCCATTTCTGGTGTCCCCAGCCGTGATATTGCTGGAATATTGCTAAAAGCGACGTCAAACCATACTCACTCACTCACTCACTCACTGTTACAGGATTACATGGTTACTTTACTCTAAATTGATAATTTCATGTTCCTGAAAAAACAACAACTTTTATTTCAATTTGAGCATGCTCAGCATTATCAGTTTGATTGTGTATCAAAATTCATCCTTTGAAGTTGCATCAATTTGAAAATAATTATTCATGTAGAAAGTCTTACACATGTTCAACCTTTAGTTGGAATTGTCAAGTGATTTTGTGAAGATTTCCAACCGATATGTCATGTACTGTATTCGACGTAATAAGCGCCCTGCGCTAATAAGCGCCCACGGTGATATTTTCTAATATATTGGCTAGTGAATAATCCTTCCAATTGATCAATGTACACAGGACTTATTTATTCATGTATAATACGTGTGTTATATGCATTCTTAATTATGGGAAATTAAATTCTTGAAAAAACATATCAATCGTATATAAACATTTCAGGCTGTCAGCATAAACCACAAAATTTACGATCTTTCAACTCTGTTGTTTTTCACCAAAATAATATTCTAATAAGAGCCCCCTGTTTCTAACTTTGAGAGCACCCTGGGCACTTATTATGTTGAATACGGTATATGATAACCCTTGGGAGGTGAAACTGAATCTCTAGCCAAACTCTCATCCCAGCTTCACATTAGCAGAGCTGTGAATTAACAGGAGGAAAGCAGTGATGGCCATTAGCCCAGAGTAGCTGTCAATCAGCTGATTAACTCACGTGCTATTCATATACATGGATTCCTGAGGGTATTCTGGGCAGAACAGGTACCCAGAATCCCTTTGTCATAAACAGGAACCCTTCTGGAGATTCCGGGTTTGAATATGTCTTCCACAACCCATGCTTGTCATAAGAGGCGACTAACGGAATCAGTGGTCAAGCTTGGTGACATGGTTGAAACGTGTCATCGTATCCCATTTGTGTAGATTGATGCTCATGATGTCAATCACTAGATTGTCTAGTCCAGTCTTGATTAATTCCGGGGTAGAATAGGCCTTCAGCAACCCATGCTTGCCGTAAAAGGCGACTAACTGGATCGGGTGGTCAGGCTCACTGACTTGGTTGATGCTCATGATGTCAATCACTGGATTGTCTGATCCAGACTTGATTATTTTACAGACCGCCATCATATAGCTGGAATATTGCTGAGTGCGGCGTTAAACCCAAAAAACAAAACAAACAGTCTTGATTATTTAGAGAAGGGTGAAAAATTGCTGAGTGCTGTGTTAAATATCAAATAAGTCAAATTTTGATAATTCTGCACACAATTCTGCTCACTTTTAAGCTTAGTTTTCATGAATTTAATAGTTTTGCACCCATTTGACGTGTGGCAGGCATTTCCGCATCTGTGGACCGCCTCTGTGGTCTAGTGGACAGAGCATCTTCCCTGAGAGCAGAATGTCGGGGTTTGATCCCTGGCCACGTCAAACCAAAAGACAGTGAAAGATGGTACTTGTTATCCTGAATAGCGCTCATAAATCTAGAACTGGTCTGCTCGGAGTCAGTATAATTCGTCTGAAGGGGGTATCCATGTTTTCTTGTGGAGGGATATCTCAATAGGCTAGCACTCTTAGACACATTTGTTCGGACTAGTTCAAGCAGCCCCACGCACACACACGAACACGTGCATGCATGATACTGTATAAGTGCAATCATCGTGAACGTGACGTTAAACCCCATTTCACCTCACCTGCCCATGACCAGAATGTCGGGGTTTGAGACCCGGCCACGTCAAACCAAAAGACAGTAAAAGATGGTACTTGTTACCCTGACTGGCGCTCGTCATTTAGGGGATAAATCTAGAACTGGTCTTCGTCTTAAGGGGGTATCCATGTTTTCTTGTGGAGGGATATCTCAATAGGCTAGCACTCTTAGACACATTTGTTCGGACTAGTTCAAGCAGCCACACACACACGAACACGTGCATGCATGATGCTATATAAGTGCAATCATCGTGAACGTGACGTTAAACCCCATTTCACCTCACCTGCCTCATCTTCTCGAGGCAAGAGAGTTAACTGACTATAAAAGTTCGGTTTCCACCCTTGCCGAATTAGGCTGGCATTATGGAGTTAGATTTTTTGGCTGGGCTAACGAGTCTATGCATAGTCCAATCAAAATCGCACACTGAAATCGAAATCCGGTTCGTAGAGTGTCATGCAGATTTCTGTCGACTGCAGGATTTGCAAAGCATGTGCACCGCTAACTCATTGTCAACAGATATTTTCTCAATCTTTTCATGTTTTTAATCAAGGTGCTCACATGATTTGATGCACTTCGCGATGTAAGACTCGTTTTATCACAATATAGATCTTGATTATCGATCAGATCGTCTTGACTGGGCGCCACCGTTTTGTTTGAAACAAATGCAAGTGATACGAGGGGTTGAATCTGATTGGTCAAAAGGAGAGGCATAGAAAGGACATAACTCGTAATAGCCACTGGTGGCGCTACGATCGAGCCCAGGAATTCCAGCCTAGTTCGGCAAGGTTGGAAACTGGACTTTTAAAGTCAGTTAACTCTCTTGCCTCGGGAAGATGCACCTGCCCATGACTAGGCTGACCATATGTCTTTCAGGTGTGTGGGTCCTCCCAGAGGATGTTCAGGCACACATACATGGAGGTATTTGGAATGCTGAGTGAAAATTGATGTGTTGTAAGTTCAAAGCTTATAGAGAGTTGACAAGTTGCTAGGCATGTTCCTGCGGAGTGGTTGTGAGATTCCAGAAAAGAAATGTAGAGAAATCTGTTTGCATTGACCTTTTCCACCCCTGACCCCTGACCCTGCATGATGCCAACATCTGGCAGTTTTCTTTCATAGTTTACTGGTATACAATCACTTTCCTGCCATATCACTGGACAACAAGGGAACCACTTCACACATACCGTCTTCGACGTAATAAGCACCCAGGGCGCTCTCCAAATTAGAAACATGAGAAATAGGGGGGTCTTATTAGAATATAATTTTGGTGGAAAAACACAGAGTTGAAAGATAAATTTCATGGTTAAATGCTGACAGCCTGATTATTGCCCATAACTAAAGGTTCATATAGAACACGAGTGCGTATTATACGCTTATTAGGGCGGGGCGCTTATTATGTCGAATACGGTATATCATTACACTACGTCTTTTGCAAGGGCTGTACATAACAAAAAATCATGTTAATTTTTTACACTTTCCATATTTTTGGTTTGCCAGGATTTGGCCAGCCCTGTGCTATAAACTAAAAGCCAATATTGAAAATAGAAGTTATTTTAAGAGTATATTTAATTACCTCACCCATCCACCCAAACGATACAATTACAAGAAGGAAACAAAAGTGAAGTAACTATAAACTTCTCAAATATTTATTAGTCAAATGCATCGTATGTAGTCCCTGTGTGGCCACTTCATGTATTTCTTCAATGAAAACCGAAAACCAAACAACCCTTAACACCTTTATTTCAAATGAAATTACAAAATTCTGACGTTCACAACTTGAAATAAATAAACATTAAAATGACCCAAGTATGCTCATAAGCATAATCCATAAACAACCACATTAACAGTGGCATTATTAATGGGAAAGAAAATTCATTTGAAGGAGAAGCACATTTTCTAACTGATACTAGCTGTAACAATCAAATAACTGTTCCCCCAAAAGGATCCACTGTATATATCAGCTGAAACCCTGCACAATCTCAGACCAAAGATCTCTTCATTGGACCGAGAGCATCCTTTCATCAAGGGTAGAATGAAGTCCACAGATTCTAACGAGATTATGGGAGACAGCCACAGTAGCTAAAGTATCCGGACGTAATTAGCTTCGTCCCCTTGACCTGTGTCAACAAGGGCCCCCAGTGTTTCGTCAATACTTGCTTTTCTGCACAGAACATTCCGATTTGACACCTCTTGGTTAACCATACATCTTAAGAGTTGGGGTTCTTTTTGAAGGTTTCAAATAAGGTCTAACATGCCATAGGTTTTTCTGTGGCCTGTTTCCGTGAGGATGTGCAAATTCCAGCACAGATAAGTTCCTAGGATTACAGATTGTCATAAAAGGCAATTTCCACAGATAACAATTAGCAAACTTAGGTTGCCTAATGCCAAGATTGTCCAGAAAAGGTCCCTAGTCCACAAAAATAGTTTTCTTCGTTTACAAATTGGAGACACCCCCCCCCAAAAAAAAAAGAAAAGAAAACAGATAAAATAATCATAAGAATTCCCATTTGTATATTTTGTGTGGTTTCTGGTTTCAATTCTGCTTTTAAAAAGTCTGGCAAGTTTAAAAAGATTGTGATCAATATAACAGTTTTGCAGTTTTAACACCCTGCAGGCAGGTGCTATTTAACGAGTCTGGCTGTAAACCAGAAAAACAACATTTTCATATTCCCTTGCATCGAAATAAAATTCCAGGATATCTAGTTTTTTCCAGGATAGTTATAATGAATTTATGCAAAATGATCATGAATTTATGCAAAATGGACAGTTTTTTGTCAGCCATCTCAGTAAGCATGTTGTTGTATAGAATGTCTTGGTACGATGCAAATCGTATCTAATAATGACAATCAATGACTTGGTGCATGGGATGCAGTGGTTTGACCTATGTTAACAATATTTAGTAGATGCATTGTTAGCCTTGTTAGCAGACACTGAAGTGTGACAACCAATACACTTGGGGCATGGGATGCAGTGGTTTGACCTTTGTTAACAATATTTAGTAGATGCATTGTTAACCTTGTTAGCAGACACTGAATGTGACAACCAATACACTTGGGGCATGGGATGCAGTGGTTTGACCTTTGTTAACAATGTTTAGTAGATTCATTGTTAGCCTTGTTAGCAGACACTGAAGTGTGACAACCAATACACTTGGGGCATGGGATGCAGTGGTTTGACCTTTGTTAACAATGTTTAGTAGATGCATTGTTAGCCTTGTTAGCAGGTTCTGAACAGTGACAATACACTTCGGGCATGGGATGCAGTGGTTTGACCTTTGTTAACAATATTTAGTAGATGCATTGTTAGCCTTGTTAGCAGACACTGAATGTGACAACCAATACACTTGGGGCATGGGATGCAGTGGTTTGACCTTTGTTAACAATGTTTAGTAGATGCATTGTTAGCCTTGTTAGCAGACACTGAACATTGACAATCAATACACTTGGGGCATGGGATGCAGTGGTTTGACCTTTGTTAACAATGTTTAGTAGATGCATTGTTAGCCTTGTTAGCAGACACTGAACATTGACAATCAATACACTTGGGGCATGGGATGCAGTGGTTTCACCTTTGTTAACAATGTTTAGTAGCTGTGAACTATATTCAGTAGATGCATTGTTAGCCTTGTTAGCCTTGTTAGCATTGTTATTCACCATTGTATGATCTTCACCCACACAGGGCCACTGGACAGTAAGTACCAGGGGTGATCACCCCTTTCAAAAACCCAAACAGCAATGGATATCTCTTCGGGTAAATAGGCCTGGCGACCCAGCACCGAGTTGGTCACAAGTTTACATTTGACAAAGTGTTTTTGAAGTTTTGTTTTCATCACTTGCAAGGGAAACAACTCACAATGGCTTCACTACTTCTGAAAAGTGGACCAATATATGTACTACTTTACTACTACTGATTATAGAGGAAAAATCTTTTGGGATTTGTTTTGCAGAATACATTATTCCTGTGAATATCCTACCTTTATTACATCACAGCTATAAATGCTGTATTTGAGCTGTCATCACACTATAAAATCTTTAGATTTTCAACAGAAGTCGTCTTCACTATCAGCTATCAATAATCAGTTGTTCAAGAAATAGCATCTGCGCAAAATATATGTATGTTAAATGGTTGAAAACAAGTTGATATGATAATGATGCATGTACTTAATTTATGAAATTATTAAAATATTTCAAAAAGTGTTTTGCTTTTGAACATTAGAGTAAACTATTAAATTAAGTAATTCCTACAGACTTTAACCAAGCTGGCCTAAATTGAACAGCACAATAGTGAGGGAGCACTGTATACCTTAATAAACTGATTGAAACAAAGAAAGACCTTTCATCTGTTGTTCGATGTTAACAATTTCTAAAATGACATTCTGGGATTCCACAGATAAATTCTAGCTCACCCACAGTAAGATGCTTGTATTGAGCACAGATAACATAACACACTATCATTGTACATTTCACAATGAGATGTGGCAGAATTTCTGTGATGTCTCTCAAGAATCAGCAGCTGGAAAGCATGCAGGGAAATAGTGGCATTACTCAGTAAATCACATTATTTTCATTCTTTATGAAACATCCAAAATTTTAATGTTAAATATATTAAGGACAATAATTTTCAAAAAAAATAATTTCAATTTTTTTTTTTTTTTAAAGTCATAAAAAACCCATCAAAACTCATTATGGGGTGTATTATGTGCCCCTTCCACACAACTGTGTTTTTTGGAAAAAAGTGTGCACTATGCTCAAGAAAATATGGTCATTTTCTTTTTACAGATAGCATTGTTTAGAGATTTTGAAAGTTTGTGCACGTTACAGATGGTCAACTCTATACGTGATACGTACATAGATTTTAACAGGTGAACATTTTAAAATTTCTTATAACTAGGAAGGCAGAATATCCATCTTTTTAAGATTGCAAGAAGTAATTTGGAAAATAAACAATTAAGCATCAATATAATGAATATTCTCACATGAGGTTAGAGTTTTTATTTAATTAAACATTTAAAAAATGACACAATGAAAATTAGGAGCTACAAAGAAAAGATACGAAAAAAGGGATGCTTATTGTTTGCTTTAGAAGGAAGTGAAGCTGTTAGTGAGTTTCACTTGCAGTGAGATGATCAATTTCTGTGTATTATATTAGCATAGAGAGCATCTCAACAAGTGATTGTAATGTTTTGTAAAGCTATTGTGTTGAAATTGTGTTGAAATTGTTACTGTTTGGTTCAGTTGCAAGCATGGACATTTGGACATTGATCCCATTTGAAGTTTACTTTCCATGTTAATTCATGCACTTCACAATGATTATTTACTTACAAGTTGTTTCAAACCGGATGATGATATTATGTTCTTTGTGGTACGTGTAGACATAGTGAAACAACAATGAAACAAAATGTTGTTCAGGCCTATTGCCCACTTTACGTGTAATGCTTCTGTCTAAGCATGTCATGGAATGATAGCTGTAGTTCACTTCCCTGGGTCACCGTGACCTAGGTAACTGGGTCACCATGACCTAGTTACCTGACAGGTCATCATGACCCAGTAACATAAGGGCTGTCATTGAGTTAAAATATCAGGGCTGCATGGTGTACAATGGTGTTCTTGCTGATGAAAATCACTATGTTATGTTCAGTAAAACCCTTACTTTCAGAATATTACATTTTGTTTTGTTTTTTAAATAAAACATGCATAAAAATGTCAGAAAATTCAAGCTACCTGAAAGGAAGGTGCTCACAAGACATAAATTTTAAGGTGTTAACACCATTTATTATGATGTCACACAATAATAGTGCTTCAAAATGTCTGACACTGGTAGGACTGAAAAACAAATTAATTCATCCAATCAACCCGGTTCATCCTCCCTACCAGTTTGCGATGCTTCAATGACAGCTCTAACATGACAACGCATGTACAACTAAGGGTAAGGCCCATGTCCACAAGTGATCTTAGCGCTAAGACACTCTCACGTCCTGTCTTTTAACATGCAGAGGTGTAGTGCTAAGGCGAATGTGAAAGGACCTTGTCCACAGTAGCTCTGCAACTGTCGTAAGTCTATGGTAAAGTATGGCAGTTAGTCCATCGTGGCGCTACGACTATTGTAAGTCTATGGATAAGTCTGGGAATTGTAGTCTTCTTAGTACTACGACTATCTCAAGTCTGTGTTAAAGTATGGGCGTCTTCTTAGCACTACTGACTAGCGTAAGACTATGTTATTGTTTGGAATTACGATCTTCTTAGAGCTACGACTATCATAAGTTAATGTTAAAGTAAGGATGTCTTCTCAGCGCTACTACTATCGTAAATCTGTTAAAATATGGGAGTTACGATCACCTCAGCGCTACTACTATCGTAAATCTGTTAAAATATGGGAGTTACGATCACCTCAGCGCTACTACTATCGTAAATCTGTTAAAATATGGGAGTTACGATCACCTTAGTGCTACGACTATCGTATGTCTGTTAAAGTATGTAAGTCTTCTTTGTGAGCACTTCTACTATCGTAAGTCTGTTAAAGTATGGGAGTTACGATCACCTTAGACTATTGTCAGTCTGTTAAAGTATGGGAGTTACGATCACCTTAGACTATATTAAGTCTGTTAAAGTATGGGAGTTACGATCACCTTAGCGCTACGACAAATGTAAGTCTGTTAAAGTATGGGAGTTACGATCACCTTAGACTATTGTAAGTCTGTTAAAGTATGGGAGTTACGATCACCTTAGACTATATTAAGTCTGTTAAAGTATGGGAGTTACGATCACCTTAGCGCTACGACAATTGTAAGTCTGTTAAAGTATGGGAGGTATGATCACCTTAGACTATTGTAAGTCTGTTAAAGTATGGGAGTTACGATCACCTTAGACTATATTAAATCTGTTAAAGTATGGGAGTTACGATCACCTTAGCGCTACGACAATTGTAAGTTTGTTAAAGTATGGAAGTTACGATCACCTCAGCACTACGATCACTTCATGGAACTGGGCCCTGGACAGCAGACATAGCTGTGTAGCATGTTGTCTCTGCCTGTGATGATCGACCTATATAACATGAGGATCTACATGCAACAGTCATCCTGGTGTAGTCATCCTGGTATATTCAACTAGTTCGTTAACCCTTCTCTTTGTTTCAGCCTGTTTCATCTGTTTGAGTGTGAGAGTTCACTGTTTTCATAGACTTCTTTCCCTCGTCATCATCTCTGCCATCTTCACTAAGGCTTGACTTGCAAAATAAAAATAAAGTGGTTCTGGTTACCATGGTAACACTCATTTAAAAAAAGTGAAAGTACAGGTAGTAGTCCTTTTGGCTTCACATGTTCTGCAATGACACTCATCAAATACGTCTGCAAGCAAAATGCGGCCCTCAAATGTTTCTTTTCAGGAGATCTTAGTCTTATTATAGAGACTACTTTAATCTGTGGTTCCTAGACCGAACAGAATTTTACTTGACTCAGGCTTCGGATAAGTGGCCAAGTTGCAGACTGCAATGATGTTCCGGGATACAATGGTAGCTTCTTGGCACTAAATTGAGTCGGCCTGTCTATGTTATAGGGAACAGAAGGGCAATTATCTCACCTTACATTAAGATACTGGTTTCTGATTGGTTACCATGGTTACGGAACAGGCAGTTATTTTCCATGTTCCCCATCCGCTGAAAAATAAATCGGATCACACTTGAGGTAACTTGCTTATCTCGCATAAGTATCATTGAGTTGAAATGAAATCAGTGTATCACAATGTAAAATATTGACGAGTGCGGCCTTAAACAACCAATAAATAGATATTTTCATACTTGTTCAAATTTTAATCATGAATAGGAATGTTCGAAAATAACAATATACCAGGGTCCTTGAAGTTTGCTCCTATATATATATAGTACCGTATTCTACGTAATAAGCACCCTGCTCTAATAAGCGCCCACGGCGATATTTGCTAATATATTGGCTAGTGAACAATCCCAATTAGCACCCCTTCCGATTGATCAATGTACACAAGACTTATTTATTCGTGTATAATACCCACTTGTGTGTTATGTGCACCCTTAATTATGGGCAGTTGAATTCTGGAAATATATATCTGTCGTGTATAATACACACAACTTTTCTTTTGCATAAACCGCAAAAATTAAGATCTTTCAACTCTTTCACCAAAATTATATTCTAATAAGAGACCCTATTTCTAATTTTTGAGATCGCCCTGGGTGCTTGTTATGTCAAATACGGTAATCATAATGTCAGAACTTTAAATCAGGGACGTACACATGAGTCGAACCACTTAATTCTTTTAGGCCTAATGTTATTAACACGGTTGACTGCAGTTGACAAATCTTGCCTGAAGTTCTGATGAAAACACTGACCTGTTCTCATGACTTTATACCTTAGTTTAGAGTTGTCTTATAAGATATAGTGTAATGTCAGCCTTTTCATTGTGATGTTAGTGTAGGCGCTTACCCTGTACTAGTCCTGTCTTCCATTTGTGAAGGGTAGGTATTTAGCATGTTTTGTCAACATCCATGTTGAAATATATTGCATGTTAAAGCTATCTGTTTGCATATATTGGGGCACGGGCGGCCCAGTCGTCTAAGGCGCCACGATTCGCTGTGCAGAGTTGCGTCCCTTGGGCACGCCCGAAACCTATGATTGTGGGTTCGAATCCCGGTTTGCCCCAATTATGTTTCTAGGTTTGTCAGCACCATACCCGTGCTCGTGGGTTTCACTGAAGCGGTAAACGTCTGAGACCTGCATCACTTCA